CTGGGTAGCTCAGGCTGGAACCTGGGTGATGGGTCGCAGCCTCTGGATTTCTTTACAAAGCTGCTCTTGTTGTTGTTAGTCACAAAATCATGTCCAACCCATCGCAACCCCATGGACAACATTCCTCCAGGCCTTCCTGTCCTCCACTATCCCCCAGAGTCCACTCAAGCTCACACCAACTGCTTCAGTGACTCCATCCAGCCACCTCATCCTCTGCCATCCCCTTCTTCTTTTGCCATCTATTGTTCCCAGCATTAGGCTCTTCTCCAGGGACTTCTTCCTTCTCATAAGGTGGCTAAAGTATTTGAGTTTCATCTTCAGTATCTGGCCTTCTAAAGAGCAGTCAGGGTTGATCTCCTCTAGGACTGACTGGTTTGATCATCTTGTGGTCCAATGGACTCCTAGGAGTCTCCTCCAGCACCACAATTCAAAGGCCTCAATTCTTCAGCGCTCAGCCTTCCTTATGGTCCAATTTGCACAGCCATACATTGCAACTAGAAAAACCATAGCCTTGACTATATGCACTTTTGTTGGCAGGGTGATGTCTCTGTTTTTTAGTAAGCTGTCTAGATTTGCCATAGCTTTCCTCCCCAGGAGCAAGCGTCTTTTAATTTCTTGGCTGCAGTCCCCGTCTGCGGTGATCTTGGAACCCAGGAAAATAAAATCCGTCACTAAAGCTGCTCAGAAGTGGTCTGTGCCCTGTTTCCCTCTTAGTTTGAATAAGGTATTATTAAAGAATAACTTATAACTAAAGAGGTGGTTGCTATAAGGCTAAACATATTTTATTGGCCCCTTGTTTTGCTGAATCTCCTCTGCTAAAAGCTGCCACCATGGGGCATGGAATATGTTGCCTGGCTCGTTGCCCCTGTTCTTTATTACTGAACAGTAAAGCTTTATCCCAGGAGCCACTGCAAATGGGAATCTCTTTTAAGGCTTCCACAGTAAGATGGATGTGAACTCTCTCTTCATGAGGAAGCATATTCACGCTCAGTTGTTGTTGGTGGTGTTGTTGATTACTTTTCTATGCCACCCAGAGCCAAGGTCCCAGTTAATATCTCAGACATCTGGTATTGGTTGCTTTTGATTATTGTCTTGTAGCTCCTGTTGGAAGTGCTGTGCCTACCCCTTTCTTCTCTTTCCTTTTTTATTTCCTATTTTATGCATATGTGTGCGGGTGTATGTGCCTGTAGGATTTTTCTTACGGAATAATTTCCGTGGAGCACTCTGTCCTGTGTGATGTTTACTGTAAATCTTCATTGCAGCCTGTGGATTTCTGTGCAAACTTGCCTGGGGGTGGTCTTGTCCTATTTTCCTCTTAGATGGGTTTGGCATTTGCAAGGCTTGGGAGATCATGCTTCTGAATTTTCCAGTCTGAAGCGCTGAAGCCAAAACAGCAGGGAGGACAGCAAACCTGCTTGTTGTTTGGCTTCAGGCAGCTGGTTCTGCTTTTCCTTTGACCTGGAGCAATGGCATAATTCCTGGGGTTTGATCTGGAAAGCAGTCGGGGCATAGAGAAGGAATGCTTTTTCAGCAGAGTTAGTGTAATCATGGTTGCTTTGAAAGTCTGGCTTGAAAATCTTAAATTAATGGTATTCATACTCACCCTTCTTTTTAGTTCAAACTCTTGTCTGGTTAACATGTTAAACATGTGTGAGTACTTCATTAGCACATGGATTCAATTCATTTGTCTGTGTACAAATGCTATTACTTGTTAGTCTTTCTAGCATGGTTTATTTTCTTCTAACTATTCACACGTTTTTATTCAGATGTTGGCAATTGTATTGCCTTACTAATTGTCAAATATGTTTAACAATCTCTTCTTATATTGTGGAAGACAAAAATAATATTATAAAAGAGTACTTGGAAGACATCTTCAGTGTAGTTTTCAGTTTCTTCCTACTTTTGCAATATGATTTGCTTGCAAGTCTATTCGAACTAATAGCACACTTGTTCAGAAGTAAGTATTGCCCCACTGTTTGTGTTTTTGCTAAGCACTTTATCCACATTTAACTATTTCTTAGCTGCCTTATGTTAGCACTTTTTAAACCTGAGAACTTGAATTTGGAGAAGAAGCTACTTTTGGAACAAATATAGTGAGGATGTTTCCAAACTGAACTCATTGCTCTATAAATATTCCATCTGTATTTTTTAAACTTAATTTCTAGTATATACATTACGTTTCTGCTGATTAGGTTATTTTCAAATAATGCTGCTGTGCAGCTACTTTGAGAAATGGTGGAAAGCAAGAGTCTGTCTCAAACTACAGAATGAGAACTTGTCAAATGAAGAAGCGTATTCTTTTTGATTTGGTTCTGGCATTATAACAGTATCAACTGGCAAAGTACAGAATTGTGCACAAATGCTTGTCCCAGATCTTCCTTTCAAAGGTATTTTTCCAAAAGACCATTCCATATACTTACTTTATAAATTAATTGATTTCTTCCTATTTTAAATCATAATAAAATTGGAAGAGTGCAACATTATGAAAATATTCAAGTTCTGCAAAATAGGGCCTAGTTGCTCTGGCATCATAAAATTCCACCTTATCTACTTGACAACCTGAGCTACATACTCAGAGTTCAGTGTTTTCGCTCATAGTTTGTGCTTTCTTATATGTAACTTGAAGTACTTTTCTAAGTGAGGCTTTTATTGTGTGGCCACCTTTCCTATCTGAATGCTTTTACAAATGAGGCTGTTGAACCTTTTGCTTCCACTTATGCATACCTTGCAGAATTAACACTGGGTATCTTCAAAAAGGTTTTGCCTGCCTTTTCTGCCTTTGCCTGCTATATAACCTCTAGGTGGTTTTGTGGTGGAGTGGAACAGCACAGCTGCACCGATCTGACGGAGAGCTGTGCTTTGTTTTGCAAGACCAAAACATACCCAATTTTCCGAATCCCCAAACACCTTGCAAAGGTGTTGGGAAAACACAAGAGCAAAAGATATGTAAATATCTTTTTTAAACCCAACCAAACCCAGCAAATGAGTTGCCAGGACTTGCAGGACTTGCACCCCCCCCCCCCATGTAACCCTATTCACTTCATTCCAAGCAGCCGCCTTCTTAGGGTTTTTAAGCTAAAATGGTCAGGGAGCTGCAATAACTCTGATAGTAAGTGCTCTGAACATGGGAAGTGTTGAAAGGACACTGAGGACTGCCAGTTCAGCACTTAAAAGCCAGAAGAGCACCTTGGCAAGGGAGGATGTAATTCTGCACCCTGCCATTTGGTGCAGTTACTGCTTTGACTCATTGCCCTCCCCATTTTCAGCAGTTCTGAATTGTGCTAATGGGTACCTCCTTTCCTTTACTATTTTTTCTCCCCCAGTTGTTTGCAACTGTGTGTGACCTCATCTTGTCAATTTCCTTGCATGTTGCCTATCCTACTTTGTTTTTCTTTTGACAGTGGAAACTTGCAAGGAAATAGACCAGGAAAGACTACATATAATGGTTTTCATACATAGCCATGTAACACTTGTGAAAGAGTGAAGACTGACAAAACACACTTGTGAATGACTGACAAAATGTTTAAAAATAGTTACCATTCCAGCTTTGCATGTTTGAGCCTCTGAAACTAAAATTTTAAAAGCCAATGAACAAAACGCGGTAACAATTAGAGTAAGTAGGGAAGGAGGCAAGATGAGGCCTGCTTCAGGGACCCATGGAATCAGTACCAGAGCAGGCTGGAAGAAAGAGGGAGGTGGAAGGGGAGAAAACCCACAGCAGCGCTCGTCATCTGTCAGGTGTATGGTGGGTTGTTCAGGGAATAAGCCACACTGCCAAGTTCAGTATTACGTATGTGTGAACTTTATCATTTTGGTAGAAGGATGGAAATAGCACCCTAAACTCTGTGCAGGTTTGTAATTGCTGGGTTTTATATTTAAGACACACTTTGAAGCTGACGAAAGCTTCATAAGCTGTAGGTAAAAAACGGCGTATTGTTACATCACCCGGACAGATTGGGTTTCTGCATTTGGATGATATATCTCTAAAGTTCCCAGCAGATGGGTATTGCAGGAGGTTAGGAAAGATTGAACAGTTTGACAAACACAGCCTCGGAGAACCTCGTCTGGAATTTTAGAGAGGGTTTTCCAGCTAGACTTAGTCATTTCCCCCCCAAATGTCTTGAGGGTGACATATGGTAGGAACACGCTCTGAGGGACAAGCCTCCCGGATGGCAAACAGCACCATGCAAAACAGACAGATGGTGGCTTATTCAACCTTGGAAAGTCGTTTAATCCTACATACTGGCAAGGCCTGAGTGGGGGGGGAGAGAGAGAGAGAGAGAGAGACTCAACTCTAATAGAATTTGAAGCAAAGATGTGATGATGTGACTCGTGGATTGTCTAGTACTGTGTCTGCAGGAGTGTTGAACTGATACAGTTGAATTGAAAAATTTGTAAAGTATTTTAAATCTGCTTGTATTGAAGAATATGGTAGAATAAAGGCATCAGAGAAAAATTTCACCTGCTCTTTCAACTAAAAAGAGCATATTTGAAAAATCACTATATTTCTTACCAGGTACAATAATTTGAGTTGTTGAATTGTCTGAAGCTGTGCCTTTCTTTTTTCAGAATGTAACTATACTTTCAAAGAGTTCAGATTATCATCTCTTATTATACATAATGGGGAAATAATAGCATAACATAAGCCAACAAAAGTTTGCAGTAGGCCCTAATCCAGCCAAAAGTTAGACAATACATAAACATGGTTTTTAAGAATAGCAGTTGGCTTGTATATTTTTAACTGAAATTGATTTATTTAGACATTTGTTTGAAAACTTCTTAAAGCCCACTTTTATAGAAGAGAGTCCTCCTGTACAGAAAAACTGGATTTTCTTTGGTGTATCTCATAAGAAGCTTACTTCTGAATTTTCTTGGAAGTGCATACTGATGACTGTTTTACTGAAGTTGCTGTACAGCGTAATCAAGATTTTGTTTATGTAATTTCCTTGGAAATATTGTATGCTGAACATTTCTCCTCTGTGTGTGTGTTTTTTTTCCAGAATACTTTCCATTTCAAATTCAGCACCTGGGCAGTGACTCCCCATTGAACTATTTTCAAAGATACACTATGGCTCTCCCTGTGTTCGTCTTAGTGAGTAGAATTTTCTTGGAGTAGCCCTCAGTACAAATTAGTTCCCATTGAAACAGTATCACTGCACTTTTGTTTTTAAGCAGGCCTCTGTTGTTGCTCCCTCACTTCTATTCTCCAGGGTGTCGTTTCTGTCAGAATGCTTCTAGATCAGAAATTCCAAATGCTTTGCTGAGATTTTAAAATACAAAGATTACAGTGAAATATGTGTCATACCATTTCTTACATTTAAAACTGTAATTTCAAAGTAAGTTTCTGGCTATATGAACCTTGATTAAATCAGCAAAGAAGCAAAGATTTTTAAAAGCTCTTACAGTGAATTTTATTTAATGTTCTGGTTTAAAGCAAACATTCCAAGGTTAAAATATTTCGGCCAATTTCATAGTAGAAATGGGCAACCACACAATCCAAGAAAATTATTTAAAAATCATCAGTGGATGGCATCTAACATCTTTATTACTGAATAAAATTTATAACACTGTAAGCCCCATATGTTGGTGTAAATCTACAGATATTGGATCTCTTTAACAGCCATGGTGAAAATGTGACATAATACAGACATGTTGGCAAATTGTCTTCGTAGAATGTAGAAAGAGTATAGCATTCCAGTTGCAGCTTGACTCCAAATTGGCCCTGCTTTCCCTGTTTATTGGGGAAAATAAAGATAACCCATATAAATAAGCATTACTTTTCATGATTCTTGCTGCTTCAAAAGTTATTTGGGGAAACTGGAAGAATGACAGATTTCTAACCTTTGGTGTAGCTGCCAGGGGACAGTCATCCTATTGATGTGCTCACTAGCCATATTAAATAATTTAGGAGAAAACAGGGCACAGACAGCTTTTGTTCTTTTCCCCAAACTATGTAAGAAATGAAGCCAAAGAACAACACCCACCAAATACACATGGTACTCTCTGGAAAGACTCTTAGATGAATGAATGTGACATACTTGTAATTGTCAATGAAACATTGTCTCTGATTTGTTGTAAATTATTCCTAATGTTTGGTGATTTGTGTGTGCATGTTCTTAAAATGTTGTATCTGTATCTATACCATCTGTATTTATAGCACACAATCACAAAAAAGACATTTAAAACAACAAATATTATTAAAGTTATCAGTGAGGGGTTTTGATAGTTCACAGAATTACAAGTGTGTAATGTTAGCATGAGGTAGTCATTCGTATATGTGTTCGGAAGCAACTGATGGGTCATTTGCCTGGCCAGACTTGAAAGGCAAATTTGGTAAATAAAGTCACGATATCTGTTATGGAGGTTTTATACTACATTGCAGCAGAATATATAACCCTGTATGCCTAAATAAGTAAGAAACAGACTTGTTACAATGTGATTACAGTTTGCTGGTCCAGTTATGTCTGTGACCTGATCTGTCTTGTAGCCTTGTGTCTTACCATTGGTGTAAAACTACAAGCATACACCTTTCACTGAGATCCTGTATGTATTGTGTAAATTCAGAGAGTTACATTTACATTTCAGGAACTAACAAAATAGTCAGAGTTTTGAAATGCTACTTATCAAATGTCAGATTGAGCAATTAAAAAAAATCCATGTATTTTAATAAAGCGAGAGACAAGGCTAAAAATGAAGTACAAGGAAAACAAAGATCCATCTCTTTCTTAGGTAGCTATCACAGGATGGATGTTCTAGCCAAAGAATGTTTTGAAAAATGGCAGGCATTTCTATGATCCTGGAGAGAAATTCAGACTGCTTAACATTAACAATATTTGAGCCAGCATCTTCCTAATGAATGCTTGCAAAACAAGAAAGCAAGATATAGTTGGGTGTGTATTGCATGTGTGTGTGACAGTGTGACTGGCTGCTTTGTCATTTAAACTGAACAAAGGATTAGGCTTTCTTAGGCTTTCAGAACTACTAAATCCAGAGCAAGTGTAATGTATTTCAAGAATTCGTAAAGATATGCCTTCCACTATTTATGTGTGGCACTGACATTAACAAATGAACCATCGGTGGTAAAAGGCATTTATGCAGCCCAATTCCGTACTTGCTTACTTGCAGATAAATTCCATCCGAGCTATTCATAGAGTTACGATCTTTTTATCACTTACAACAATACTTTAAAATTTGTGCAACTGGTGAGAATTGGAAGAATTGGAATTGGAATTGGAAGAACACCTCTGATTACCCGCTGCAGAATTACTTCTGTGTAGAGGAGTCCATAAGGCCAAGAGATCTGGAGCAGACAGAAACCATTGCTTCCAAGGCAAAATGAAAATAGTTATTTTTTCCAATTACAACTATGTAATGTTGACTTTTGATTGATTTACAAAGTATTTGATTATGTACCTACTGAAAATCCTTAAATTTAAGGATTAACTTTTCATGTACCACCATGCTATAGGATACTGGTATCCACTGGACATACATATACACATAGTGTGCGTATATGTATAGAAATGCAAATATGTCTTCCTCTGAATGACACTTGGTTCTTAAAGAGATTACAATATATTATATAGCAGTCTTGCCTATCCTATTGCCTTCCAGGTAGCTTGGATTTAAATTCCCAGCATTTCTAACCATTGACTATGCTGGATGAAGCTGATGGGTGTTGAAGTTCAAAACATCTGGAATTTACTTGATTGTGGAAAGCAATTACATATTTTCAGCAAGCTGAAAAGCAAGGAAAGTGTAATGTGCCAGAGCTGCTGCATCAAAATGAAATTCTGCATGTATGTGATAAGGCAAAACCAAACACATTTTGTGAGTTGCAATCAAATCCTTTCCATTCGTACTTCCAAAGTATTTACTCCCATTTAAACTGAAGCTCTATCTTTCAATTTAAGTGTTTGAAAAGGCACATATTGCCCCGCTTCCCAATTGCTTTCCCTACTTGCTCCTCCTTTGCATGTTGTTGGAGAAAACCAGAGTCCTGACTGCTGCAGCTAACAGGAAAGAAGTAATGGGGAAAGGAGCTGGCAGAACATCAGAGTGGAAGGTAGAACAGCTATATCCTCTGGGAACAGTTAAACAAACAGGCACCATTTCCAGGTGACAACCTGGTAACCATTATATTTCAAATTAGATCTCAAGGACACAAACCAGGCAGAAATGGTTTCTGACTCCAGTGTTGGACCAATATGCACATGTCGCATCTTTCATTCTGTAGGCATCAGAGGAGGTTTTCATCTTGAGAAACTGCTGTGCAGTTCAGTCACTATGGCCCTGTTCCCCTTGCAACCTTGCTTCAAAAAGACATGCACTTCCATGACTGTGTTCCACTGTGAAATATCCAAGAGCTGCAGCACTTAGAATAGGTGCTGGCTGCCTGTGGGTAATAATCTTGTCTGCCTAGACAACAGGCAAAAAGGCTTAGTGGCTTCTAGCAAAGCAAACACAAGTGTGCTTTCTCAGGCGTTTGTGCTGTAACAGCAAAGTCTGTTTCAAACTTACGCCTCAACTTGGCTCCCCCCTCAGCTGAAGATAATGTGCAGACAAGTCAGAGCTTCGGTGGTTGCATTAAATATTTGCATTTTTATGTAAGGTATTATACCTGCTTTGTCCACAAAGTATGCATAAGATGTTGCTAACCCAGGCAACATTTTTAGTTTATATCTATCTTACATTCTTATCTTTAATACATTATATGATGGGTAGGCAACCTGCTGCCCTCCACAGGTTTTGGATCATAACTCCCACAATCCCTCACCATTGGCCATGATGGGGATTGCAGTGCGAAACATCTGGCAGGAACAAAGTTGCCTACTTCTGGTGTGTCTTGTTATGGTTCTCAAGACCAATGCCCAATAGTTCAGAGTGACTGGTTGGCAGCTAAAACAGGAGATGGTTCTGTTCTTGGTTTCTTTTCCATTTGGAATATTACATGGTCAAAGCCTGAAGAAGGTAATAACTTAGCAGGAGGGGGAGAGTGGGACAGTGCAAAGCAGAGCATGGAAGAGCTGAGAATTTTCTACCTTGTATCAGTGGGATTCTGGAACATCGAAAGATGTCTTATACTGAATTGGGCCATTGGTCCATCTAATTCAGTACTGTGGACCTTGACTGGAGCAGCTCTTCAAGAATATAGGAAGAAGTTTTTGTAGTCCTGCCTGGAAATGCTAGGGATTAAACTTGGGACCTTCTGGAAGGAATATTAGAAAAATCTAATATGATTTCTGATTAATCTGACCTGCCAATTGCATAAGAGTACTGATTTTCTGAAGTCCCATATATTTTGTGGACTTGTGGAATATTTTTTTAACTTTCTGTAATTTTATGCAAATATAGTTGCGGAAAATTATGGGAAAAATTAAAAAATAATACAAACCCAACTAAATGCACATTCCATCTCAGACTAATGTTTGAAAGTAGACACCATGGGTAGATTTTTTTTTAAAAAAATTAGGAACATGTGTGCCTTTTCAGAAGTGCACATTTGCACAAATGTATATGGATGCATTTACACAAAATTTGATTCTTTCAGTGAGTAGACAATGAAATAGATGGTGTCTGATAATCCTCAAAATATAGGGAAAATGGATTTAATAAGATCCATGCATCCCTACCTTCTGCATGCAAAGCATGTATTCTACCATTGAGTTACGGCTCTTCCCATAACTCTGTGCTGTCTGTTTGCAGAAGTATGTTTCTCTCTATCCTGATTTGTATGCATGTTTTATGCTTCATGTTTATACTTGCATGATTTATACTTCGGGCAATGCACCTGAGGCCCATGGAAATTGAAATGTGGAGTTGCCCTGACAAGAGAGGAACTATCGCTTGGTACTACAACCATGTAGTATTGTGAGAGACAATGTGGTACAATTGGATAGCAGACCTTGTCAGGATTTGGGCTGTTGCAGGGCTCCATCTGGTGCTTAGAATCAGAACAACCAGCATAGTACTTCCAGGATTGGTCCCAAACCCTACTGGATGTTGCAGCCTCCTAAAGAACACCTTTGGAGAGACCTGGGAGAAGAGCTTTATTTTTTTATTTAAAACTTTTTTAGACTGCCCTTACCATGG